AGATAGATAGATAGATAGATAGATAGATAGATAGATAGATAGATAGATAGATAGATGGATGGATGGACACATGCCTGTAGGCACGTACTTTTCTTTCCCCCCTCCTGGAGCTGATTGTGTTTTATTAAGCCCTTGTGAAGAAGGATATTCTGCAGAGACTAAAATAAAACCAATGACTCAGCGCTGGATTTACCTGTTGTCAAGGCTGATTCACACTCAGTATAGCTGACTAGTCATGGTGACCACACAGCCCATTAGGCCTAGTACTGTGCTGCTCTTACAGAAAAGTGGTGGTGGCCTCAAACTGAGTTGGTCCTTTTAGACCCATCCATCAGAGCTGAACAGCTGCTGGCCAATAATTCAGCAGATGTCTAAAAGTGACCAAGTGATGCTATAATACCACCTTTTCTGCTCCGGTTGGTGAATTCAGAGCTTAAAGACCCCGTTGTAGCCTGACGCTCATCCTATTCTCTTTGGAATAAGGACTGGTGAGAATTCTACCCAAACTCCCTGGGCCTGACTTTCTTTTTAGACTGCCGGGGTAGAGGTACTTGGGCAACAGGATTGTTATCACTCTGAAGAATTCGAACATGCTCTGTAGCTGCTGGCTCCAACCCAAATATGTGCAGTTATCATTAACAGCAGTGCACTTAAAAGACACTTTGAAAAGTGCTAGTGTTCTCGGCATGTTACAGCGAAGCTGCAGCCCTGCATGATGTCCTCTCTACTCAACCCACAATGTCTGTCCAAATAGAGAAACACCCCCTGAGCACTTAAAAATAATGCTATCAATCAGAATGCTAGAAGTCTGGGTTTTTGTTCTCCTTATTCTTTTTACAGAAATATTTTTTGCCAGCACAGTATATTTTCTGCCCCCCTTAGACTACAACCTAGGCCACCAACATGTCTTTGTTCCATTTTAACTATAATCGCTTGCTTACATTTTCAAAGCGTGTTTTCATTGACATATGTTAATTTTATCACCTTTAAGTTAAGAACCTTTTTGTATTTTTTTTGGATTACTCACTTTGCTTATTTATTGGAAGATTAGTTGTGTACACGGATTGTAGCATGTCTGTAGTCCTCATTCACGATGCATAAAATATGTGGACATTAGGTTGCATTCAATATGCATATATGATCAAAGCTGTGTATTCTTTCCTGCTTGTTTGCCATGCTTGAAACTTAAGAACCGCCTGCTTCAACAGACCTGTGATTCATACTGGAAACTATCTTGCTGCAGCTAGGAGTAAGATTTGAATGTAAATAACTGTCTCTTGGGTGGGTGGGTGGATGGAGGAAGGCAGTCACCTGTCAGGACCCAGGAGTGCTGGTACCAAGATCCCCATGCATACCTAGAGCTGCATATGCTCAAACCTCTTAAAAATGGCATAGCCTGCACATCCCCTTTCATATACTTCAAATCATCTCCAGATTGCTTATAACATAAAATACAGAGCAAAATCACAGTCACTAGTAATCAAGTATTAGTCAATAAACTATGACAAGGACTCAGTTTATCAGAGACTCAGTTTCCCCATGGTTGGTTGGGTATGGTGTGGGATAGCTGTATTTGCAAACCTGATCTTAATATCTGGGGGGTCATCAGGAGTCACTTTTTATTCATCAGTGTGACATGAATTAGAATTTTTAGCCCTTCTCTTTGGGCTGCCATACAGCCCTTCCCTTGCTTCCCAGTCTAGACTTGCTAAATAGGGCTGTCAAACATGAACGACCTCTTTCTGGAAGCTGTTTGTGAAAATATTCATCCTACATTGGTGTTGCCCTCACTTAGCCACATGCTGTTCAGATAAATGTTTCTTAAATAGCTCCAAATAAGGACCAAGATATCTCGAAAAAATGACAAAATATCAAGATTCACATATGCCCATCACATTGCAGCCTTGTAGGATGGATTTTGTTTGTAGCTGGTAGAATCTTCATGACAAGACTTTGTGGTTGGCTCTGGGTTTTCTCCTTTTTACTGGTGGTCATCAGCTCAGAGGGGGTAATTTATCAAAGGCCATCACACCATGGTAGTCTCCCCACCCATCTTCGGCACCTTCCTGAGGCCGTGGGTTCCTCTGATGTAATGTGTTGACTGGCTGAATGATGGAAACAAGCCTCAACTTGAAGTCGGAGGCCCAGGCCTCAGCATTAACGCTAACCCACTAGTTGACTGTGGCAGGCCTCACCCCCTTCTGGAATTTGGCTACCTTACATGTGAAGTTAAATCAGCCATAAGGTTCTCCAACAACCAAGGATGCTGTTGAGCAAGAGTAGCCAGTTCCCAGCTGGCCCAAGTGAAGGACAAGGATGTCCACGGCTTGGAGTATAGAGCTATCTATAGCAAACCAAAGGGATGTTGTATTATTCCCATGTTCGTATGGCTTGACATAAGACTCCCTCCATTTCTACAGGGAGCTAAAAGCCAACTGTATATACAAGCTCTTATGCAGAAATCAAGTTTTTTGAGACCAGCATGTCAAAGAAGAGTATTTATCTCACCTTGCCTTAATTAGATGCTGGTTCTTCTGTGTAGCCTTGATAGGCCTAGAACTCAGTAAGTATACCAGGCTGACCTTAAATGCATAGAAATGTGCCTGCATCTGTCTCCTGAGTGCTGTGATTAGAGGTATGTGCTGCCCCATCCAGCATGATCCAGCTTGATACATCCATTGCTTTTGCCACATGGACTCTCCTTCCTGTGAGTGGTTGTCACCACTCCATGACAGATTTGGCATGATTATTTCCCTCAGATCTTGGCAGAGCCATGCTATACAATGAAAAAAACAAAATCAATCTTGGATACTTTGAGGATGCTCCCATTCTGTTTGGATTTTCCTAGAAACAATCTCTTTTCCCTTGAGCCATGCCTGTGTTGATGCTGATGCAGTGACTCAGGATGGACTGCTCAGAGATTAGTCACGTGACTGGGAGGTCAGATGCTATCAGCCTGATGATCTCTAGAGTGGAAGGCCAGCTA